TTGTAATAAGTAGGCCTTAAGATGGAAGGATTTAAACTTTCGAATAGTGGGACCAAAACTCGTTGCTTTATCGCTTGGCTTTACTCCATTTATATTTGTATTCAACACTAATAAATATTAATACTGTTATTGGTTGTTTGTCAATTTATGTCCAAATATTTGTCAAATTGATTCAATTAGTGCTAAGATTTTGACATGTGTAGACATAAAATTAAATGAAATTTATTGATTATTACATAAAATTTACTTAAGGTATTATATGAAAGTCTAATTTATTATATGTATTGTAACTTTTGTTTGTAATATATCTATATATAACATATTTGTAAGCTTTATAATCTTACATAACATTGTAAAGCTAATACATAACTAATCAATTTGCAGTTATTTAACCAATGTATGTTTGAATACATTGACATGATACATGTGAGCCCTTAGATATTGGACCCAATAATAAATTAGATCATATTGTATCCATAGGTTTGGTAAATAATCAGGAGATATATTGCCCCTCATAAGAAAAATCCTTATCATTTTCAGTATTCACTGGTATGTTATAATTTTTAACATTCTATGCATCAAGCATGTCATTTCTACCCTGTAGGAACTACATGATCGCCCCAAGGATACCTTCGGTATCTAAGGTTTGCGAACTAACTTAACAATGATTATTAATTTTTATATCAATAATTTATACCTTATTTGCATGTACTAATTGAGATATCATTATAATGAATAATGTGGGTTTCGATCTCTTCTCTCAATTTCCTCTTTGTTCTTGAATCCTATTTCTCTTTCAGTTTTTAGGTAGAGAAATTGAGAAAGGAAAATAAATGAGAAAGAAAGAAGGAATAAAATGATTGAAAACAAAATAAATGGGTTCAAGACCCATTTTCCTTCTCTCATTTTGTTTCCTATTTTGGTTTCTAAATTGTAGAGAGAGAGAAAAAGAAAAAGAAGAAGAGAAAGATCTAAAGAATGGACCTAACAAAAAGCCAGAGGTTATGTTTTTATTATGTTTACTCTTTCTTTTGATATATGATTTTTCACGAATTTTTCAAAATTTGTTTTGTTTGATGTTTATGTTTTTGTCTTCTCGTCCAATGTTTGGCTTTTTAAAAAAAGATAATCATGGAGTTTGAATTTATGTGAAGAGAGGTGACTTTGGTTTTTGTTTTCATAGTTTTAATAAGACTCTATTTGACTGAATTGTTGACTTTGACTTTTGTGCTCTAAAATTAATTTTCTAACTAAATAGATAAAATTCGAAGTGTTTTTGGAAAAAGTTAAAGTCAAAATTTGCTTTTGATATATTTAGATGGAAAAGCTATAATGGGCATTTGGATGGCTTGTAGCTCATGTAATGAGTCTCAAAAGTGTTGTTAAGATAGTTGTTTACTAAAGATACTTTTAGTAAAAATTATTTGATATTTGGTAAAGATAATTATATAAACTGCTGTCACTTAAAAAAAATTTGTATTAGGTGAAATTGAATTTTGAAATATGAAGTGTAAATTTTTAATAAAAAGTAAAATCATTTTCTAAAAGTTACACATTGTAATTTTTTATTCTAAATCTATCCAAAAAAAAAAGATATTAGCTTTGACTGATGTCAAAAACACTTTACATTTTTTCTATTTGGTGAAAGTGCTTATAATATGTAGAAACCACAACAAAAAGTTATGCCAAATGGGCTTTAATATGTAATTTTAGAAGGTAGATTTGGATTTTATTAAAAAATTTATACTTGAAATTTTAAAAATCATATCACTGAGCATACATTTTCTACTTTTGCATAATGATAGAACTTTTTACTAATTTTTTTTATCAAATATCAAACAACTTTGACTAAAGATACTTTTAATGGATCATTGTCTTAATAGCACTTTTAAAATTCACAACATAAGTTATAGTTGTAAAAGACACCCCCTAATTTGGGTTTCCATGATCTATTTTCTATAAGTGCATCTTTTGATTTTCGTTTCCTTATTAAACTAATAATCAATCACCTTATTTTAGTGTTGTTTATTGTTACAATGCTTTAAAGCTACTAGCGACTAAATACAAGTGCATGGTTATTGGTAATATATTAGGTTTGTGAGAAATTGCATGTTGAATTGGTATAAACAAATGCCTAGTTGAATTGGTAAAAACGTTTTAGTATTATAGACTATTGAACATGCTCAGATGAGCCAATTTGCCCTGTGAATAAATATTAGTTTGCACACCAAGCTTAAGGTTTAAATTTTTAAGATGAAAATAAGAAAAGTTTACAATATCCTCTGCATTTTACTGAAAGTAAAATTATAAAAATTAATATGACTCAAATAAAGATATATGAAATAAGTATTACTTGACAAAAGAGTTAGTAAAAAATATTTATATAACAATTAAAAAATTAAAAGTTAAAAGTTACTCTACAATGAGAACTTCCATCCCACACCCATCCTAATCACCTAGACAAACTTAATTCATCCCCATTCTATGTTGTTTAATCTGCTGTGGATCAAGTATTTTCATAGTGAGGATTTTATGCATATTAAGTCGGGCTCTAGAGCAAGTTACACATTGCGCAGGATCATAGTGGGATGAAAACTGCTCTTTGAAATATTACACTGGTGAATTAGGGATAGCCGCCATGTCCACATTTGGAGTGATAAGTGGATTCTTCAAAACATCCATGCAAAGTTTGGACTGCAGATCGATGAATGCTAATCTCACAATGATCTCTAAGTTGATGATTCCACACACTCATGGTGGAACATGGACTAGGTACATTCTTTATCTTACTGTGCATTTATGTTAGAGACTACCCCTAGATTAAACTTGTATGGGCTTATGAACAAAATGAAGCCTATTCAGTTAGGACAGGATGTCACCTGGCACATGAACAAAGTGCTTTGGTCCTTCCTGGTGCTGCAGCCTTATGTTCAGATATGAATATTGTGGAATGCCAATACAATTCCAAGGATGAAACATTTGACGTCGCATGTGATCCGAGATATGCTCATTATCAGAGTCTGCTTAACTCAAAATTCTATACAGCTAAACAAAACTTGTCCAATGTGTGGGGAAGGGGAGGAACATGTAGATCATTTGTTCAGAAGCATGTATATATGCCCAAGCTGTATGGACACTAAGCCCTCCAAATATGTTTAACTTGTTTAGGAACTCCTTTCTTTATCAGATTTTGATCTCACTTCACATGGTTGATGTACACAATACAGGCCATATGGTGGAGCAAAACCAATGGGTACAGTTGGGTGAATGGATTTCTCCTCAATCTCTCAATCAAAAAATACAGGTACATTTTGACAAGCTAAAGGTCACCCAGATTCAATCTATCAATCTTCCTCAGGAGCACATTGAAGAGAAGTTGTTGTCATACTGGGCGCTTCTTGTTACTTTCAAACTCAATTGTGAGTCTTTCCTTGGTCCTATGGAGAGACAGGACCTGGAGTGGCTTGTCGAGATTCTCTTGGCGGTCTTGTCTTGCAACAATGAGACGTATACCGTCTCCTGTTTCTATAGATACTGTAGCAGCACATTCTATATTATTTAGAATGCAACTTGCTGCTCATCTGGTGATACCCTGCATACAGCTGAAAAGCGATTCACAATATCCTGTGAATAATCTAAAGCTAAATACTTCATTTCCAGAACTTGGGCTACTTGTTGATGATTGTATTTTTTCAATTCCTTTTTTCAATCTGTATTTATGTCATAGATTTCTCGGGATTGTAATAGGGTAGCTCATGCTCTGACAAAAGGAGCTTTCTGCAACACAATTAGTCAATATTATATTATGGAGTCTCCTACTTTTTTGGTTCATTTTTATTGCTGTACTCTTATACCCTACTGCATTGAATGAATTTTCAATGTTTCTAAAAAAAAGATCATCCGTCTCTTGTATAAAATTCTAACTCAACCACTATATTTGTGTACTCAATATAAAATGCTCTATGTTTGGTTTAGTTTTTACATGAATACATTTGATTCAATTGCTTTTAATTTTGTCGTAAATTCTTGGAGATAAAGTTCAAACCCGAATTACCTCCATGAAGTTAACCAGAAATAACCATAACAGTAATCTTTTAAAGTAAATAAAAAAAATCATGTCATTGAATCAAACTCCAACATAACTTTTATTTCTTTGAAAAGTTCCTGAAAATTTTGATGTAATCAATTTACTGAGAGTTTCGTCACCCCTAGTAAAGGAACCCTGGTCTCGTTGCTATGTGTTAACAGGAAAGAATATTTTGCTTTCTTTTTCTTTTTCTTTTTCTTTTTTTTTTTTTGGTGAAAGTGCACCGAATATTTGAAAAATCATCATGAGAGTTTGAGTTGTTAATGAGCGACATTCAGTAATCATGTTATTCTGCATCGATAGAAAACTGGATAGCAAAAGCTGCGAAGCACGTTTTTATAAAACATGAAAAAGCCAAGGGTTGCTTTTCAGCGGATAATGCCTGTTGTGATGTGTAAACAAGGTAACTGGCATCAATTTCACCATCCTTGTCAATTTTTTAAATCACATTCACTGCAAGTAGTGTTGGTTTCAGCTGGATCATTCGTGGAAAAGGAAAAAGAAAAAAAAAAGGCTACAAAAAGACGCTTTTGCAAGAAAACCCCATATATAAAATATTGCTGCAAGGTGTTTAGATTTTACCAAAAGATAAAGAAGGCTTATGCTATTTTTGAGCCCAAATTGATATAGTGTTAAGAAAAATTGTCCAACAAATACATAAATTAGTACAAAACTATCCCTGAACACAATGATGAGTGGAAAGAAAAAAGAAATAAAACCATGTATTCTAATATTTTTCAATCATGGAAGAACAAATCTTCAGCAAATTACAGAGTTTACAGTTTACACTAGATTGGTTATGGAAGAAAACAAGTTTCAAGCAGGGAGAGTGGTCTAGATACACCTTACTTCCAAATTTGTAAGGTGAAAAATTAGAAAATAACAAAAAGAAAAAAGGAAATCCAGAAAACATAAAAGACAGTACCTGTAGCGTTACATTACATCCTAGGCTGCTGGAAAACAATCTAAAGAAAAAAATTTAAAGTTGATTCACCTCAACCATCTTCTAAGATCACTGGTTGAAGAAGGGGAAATCTCTCCCCCAAGGCTCTCAGTGCAGCAGGAAGAATAGTTAGATTGTTGCTCCAATCCAAAATGTGATCCACTTATGCTCTTGAAGCTCGGACTCCTCAGGTTATGTCTATAAGCTCCATTAGGATCCGGGACTGGGAACGAAAGTCGTTTCCTTGCTGAGCCAACACGATCTCTTTCAGGGGTAGATGGCCTTTGCCTAGGCGCACTTTGGGACCTGATTCTAGCCTTGGCAGACTCAGTTGCTGCCATGTAATTAGGCAATGGTGCACCACCAATGGTGTTACCACTATTACTAGAGCAATCACCTCTTCCTTGTTGGTGCACGATACCATTGTAAACGTAATTGGATCTTAAGCTTGGCGTTTGGGATGTACGGTAGGTTTTGTCTTCCTTTTGACAGCAAGGACTTGCTGAGCGGACTTGAAGAGGCCGAGATTTGGATGGCGAGGGCGTGGCAGGTGAGTGGTGGTGGTGTGTTGCATTTTGGTAGGTTCTATGTAGAGGTGAACTAGGCCTTTGGTTTTGGAGTTGATATTGGTGATGTTGGTTTTGATGCATTGTTCTTCGATAATTAGGTGCTAAGTATGAGTAAGGTTGAGCTGTTGCCGTATCCATTTCTACCGTTTTGATGGGATCTCTTTGATCAGTTGAAGCTCTCCCTCTGGAGTCCCATGACTTTGAAGCCATCCAACGATCCAGCCATTTGGGTCTCTCTTCCAACTCTCCTTCATCGCCCATTGATGGACTCCTCCCACTTCTCCAAATCTTTGGTTTTGATTCAGGAAAATTACGACAATTAGCTTATGAATTGAACAGGATTAAAACATTGAATATGCAGACATGAAATATAAGTCTGAACCTGTTGAGAGAAGGCCTGAGATAAGGTCCTTTCACGCTTCAATGCAGCCTCTTTTCTGTGCTGTAACATGGCTTTAACCTCCTCAATTGTGTGCGGCCGCTCGTCCCAATCATCTGCAATGCTACTTCCCTCTCTTGACTATGACAAATTAAACCCAAAACTAAGAATCAGACAAAAATTAATTTTTGTAAAAACCCACATGGGTTAAGCAAAAATTATCTTTAGTTTCGTTCCAAGTAAAAAAGGGCTTGAAAATGAATCAACCGACCATAGATCTTCTATCTGAAATGTCTTGGAGATAACGAGATTCCAAAACACTATTGGTGTCACTAAAAGCAGATTTCCTACTTCCTTCATGGGAGAGCCTCATGCGCTGATCCAACACCCGGGCCTGCACTCGAACCAGAGCTTGCATGCAGCGAAGAGTCATCTTGGCTTGTTTTCTCACATTGTGGCCCCTAACCAAAGCTTGTAACTTCACTAACCCTTTAAGCGCACGTAGAGCTCTCCTTGCCTTTGCCACCCACCCCATAGATAAACACATACATCAGAAAAAACAAATCAAAATTTGTTGATTAATCGAGTCTTCAATGTTATAAAGTTTATCATTAATCGACTTTTCCTCTGTTCCCTTCATGTTAAATTTCATACTTCGAATTCAACAAGTGTCATATTCGATCAACAGAAAAACCCAAAAGGAAAAAAAAAAAGTTGAAACTGTAGGATGTAACTAAAATCTATTATTTGACTTATGTTTAAAGAGATTCACTCTACTTTCTACATTAATCTTTTAGAAAACATCAAATCTCATTTTTGCTTACCAGATATCCCCTAAATGCCGTCTGAATGACAATGGCAGCATAATACTCTCTGGCCTGATTAGAGGGCCTAGTGAGCCGAGCCACCTCCACCGCGGCCTGCGCGGTGGCTACTGCAGCCTCTGCAGCTGCTGCTTTAGCCACCGCCATTGCAATAGCGTGCCTCTGCTCGGCAGCAGTCGCCGCTGTATGGTCAGCACCGGTACTACTCTGAGAAGCTGTAGTAGTTTTGGGTGGTGTCTGTTGCGTGACTGATTCTTGGCTCGTTGGTTTCCTAAAAATCCACCTTTTCTTTTCTCTCTTCTGCAAAATACCCACAAATGGAAAATCAACATTGTAAGTTATAAATGATCCTTACATAGCCGGCAAACACAGATCAAGAACCAAACCCAAAGCAATTAATTAGTTAATTAATTAACTTGTTTAGAAAAAAAAAAAAGTTGGAGTGCAGAACAACACAAGACCCTATCATCATCTTCATCTAGGTCCTCATCTTCTCGTCTTCTGCTACTCTTTTTATCACTTTCTTTAGTAGGAGATCTAAAAGCCCTTTTCACCGCGGTCAACCAGGAGCTGCCTCCTTTCTTCCCCATCATAAGAAATGGTTAAAGCAATTAAGCGGCTGCATTTACAGCAAATGCAGCTAAAGAGAAAGGTCGGAAAGAGGCAGAAACTGTGAGGTAAAGATGTGGGGTCCTTTTAACCATCTGTACAAAAAAATACAGAGCCCACTTCTATAAACGTGACAGGGACAGCGAAGAGGAAGATAATTTAATGCTCAACGTGTGAGAGAGGAAAACTGATGACTGTTAAATGCTTAGAACTAATATATCCACGGCAATATCTTATGGCTATATGCCCAAAGCTTCAAGCGTTTGATGTCGGAACTCGGACACTACGGCAACACGTTTATTCATATTTTAAAAGCATATATATATATACATGGAAGTTCATAATATATTTTACTATACAGTTCCAGAGAAAATATGGTTCAGTGTACATATATTTTTTTGAGCAAAATTTTAGTATATGTATAATAAAGTAGCAACTAATAAATTTTTTTTTGTAAAAAAATGAGGTAGGTATATAGAAAGTGGCATTGCCATGTGCTAAAAGATTGGTGCACATCAAGGGGTTTCCTT